GAAGGGGAGGGGGCCCAAGCAACCTTGAATCCACCACTAGTTGTCCTCTAATAGATGTGGTCCTATTTTCACTGGATTAACTTAACTGGATTAAAATCAAATACAACACTTACCTACCTAGGTCCCTGGGAATCTAATAATAATAATAAACATGTTGACATTGAACTTTTAATTAGCGTTACGTTATTATGTTCTTCACTTTACAACACAGTAATTAGGTATTTTTTAATTTATTTCTTTTCCTGAAAAAGGTGCACCTTCTATATTTGTGGCAGCATTGCTAAGAACCTCTAACCATTGGGAGATTTAGAAATTCAAAATAGAGGGAGTCCACGGATGGCCTTTTACAGGCGGAGGGTATATACCACCTCAGCCTCACCATGGTAGAAAATTATGATTATGGGATCTCTAGATGGCCGGAAAATGCACTCCCGGATAATAATATAAATTAATATAGCTTTTTTTTTTATTTTAAATTAAAATTTTGAAAAATTTTACGTTATTATGTAAATAATCCCCTCCCCCTTGAATCCACTACTGCAAACAAATAGTCAGCGTTAGGCCATGTTTCAATCTGAAGCCAAAAGCCTTTACTGTTCCATTTTTAAACTCGGTGAATATAACAAAGTCAAAATATACAACTTACTATAGAGGAAGTAGGCCAACGTTTTCTTTTTTTTTAAAATAATATCTCAAGGTAGTGAGTGCTAACCGGTGCAAAATATCAACAGGTAATAGTTAAGCAGGAACCAATTGGCAAACTGAACCGGAAAACTCGAGACAACCTGTGTACTTAGTACCTTGAGTACCATCCCGGTAACTTGTATTCTCCAGTACACTACGAGGTGACAAGTGCCAAATAATAATTGTTTTCACATGATCGTAAAGGGCATCCGACAATTGAGTTCCTTCAAAATATAATGGCTATAAACGATTAAAACAAAACTTGGCACAACACCAGATGCATGGATGTTAAATTTACAACATACTAAATATTTATCTTGTATTCCATTTATTCTATCTATTTTATTTTAATTATAATATATTGACATCAAAAATAGCTGAAGTCTTATATTTATATCATATTTATTTATAATTTTTCAAATTTATTTTCATTTTTAGATCTACTTTATCTTATTTTTATTTATATATTATTAATTATTTAAATGAAATAATACAAATAATGTCCTAAAAATTTAGAAGCTTTACAAACCCAGATTTAATGTTATTAAGGAGCAGATAATAAGTAGAATTCCTATTCGCACAACATTTCCATAGCAAAGGCCACATTTCAAACCTAACCTCAAGGACAGGCAAATATAAATTATAGATCATACTTAGATCTTATTTAATTTATCTACCTATCTTATTTATTTTATATATCTTAATTATATTTTTCTTATTTAATTTATATCTTATTTATTTGGGGTATATTAAGTATGTTATCTAATTTAAATCTTTCATTTTTTTTGTACTATAACTGATCATTTCTTATTCAAGATGGTTTCCGACAAAAATCTTTGTTATAATAAAGTTAAATGGGATGTATTTGACAAAGTTGAGTGAGCACGAAGTGTCTTATCTCCCTCACCCTTCAATAATCAACAGAGATGAATTATTGACATACCAAAAAGTAGGTTCAAAATTGAACCTATTGAAAGTGCAACAGCTCAGCCAATCAATCTGCTCCTGCTTAATTTGAAACCCATCCAATGAAAACAATTGGTACAATTTAAGTGGGTCGATCCGATCAGAATGCATGAATACTTACTTTCAAGTAGATGGGATATTTAAGGGGATTGTTTCCTATATGTAGGGTGTACAGGATATCATAGGTTAAACCGGTGTAGCTCTGGCGGCAGACAAGGGAGGAACCCAGAATTCAGATCCACCGAACTCTTACAAACTCGCGCTCTTTTCGGTGTTAGCATAGCCTGGGTCTAGAACACCTGTAGGATTTTCTGAGGGCTTGATCTGAAGGTGTGTATAGCCAAAGTGAATTAGATTATACAGTGACACAAAAAAAAAAAAAAAAAAAGAGAAAATAAGATAGCATACAGTGGGATACAGGATAGCGAGCACAACTTCCTTGGGACTTCGCCAAAATTTTGTGTCTAAGCAAAAAAGTTCTCTCGCAAATACATAAATTCTTATAGAAGACACAAAGGCCAAGGGATTGCCTAATAGCAAACTTAATCACTGTCTTATAATAAAGTGATAATCCTTTTCACAAGACCAACATAATACAGTATACTGCGTCTCAATTTCAGGCCTAGGGAGTGGAGTTGTTTTTGTTGTGAGAAAAATCCTATCCAGTTGACAAAAATTGAACTCAGGGTCCAGGGTCCTGAGATAGTAGGAAGGCAAGCATCTACCCTAAAAAATACAGCTCCACTATTTTCTAGAAATAATGTGTACAATTATACATGAGTAAATAATAATAATTATATAAAAAGTTTCATATTGACTCTAAATGATGACTCTAAATGTGACCTTTTTACAAGTAGGGTAAATGTCACTCTCGAGAAACGTTTCATCAAACATTAGGCCTATGGTACAGTTTATCTTGAACAAGTTTCGGAAACTGGTCATTCAGGGCCCTCATTAATAAAACATTAGAGAACATATAAAATACACAACTGCCTCAAAAGTTATTAAATTTTACAGTTACCAAACACTACAAAATACTGATTGTGGACTCGTTAGGGATTGGAGTTGATTGTTGTTGGCTGCTAGAAAACCCAAGTCCAAGGATAACAAAGCCATTCATAATTTAATGTTATATAAGATATGTGTCAATCACTGAAAAATTAAAAACTCAATATTGGACTTTAACTTAGTTTTTAAATACAGTTAGTTATTGGCTTATTGTTAGGCAGGTCAGTGTATTAGAAGATTATGATGATAATGGTGAGTAGCTTTCAGTTTAAAATAAAAGCAACATATATTTGTTTTAATTAGGAGCGGTCTGGCACAAGGGCTGCAGTCCTACTTCTCGATCTTGAGGTGGGAGATTCAATACCTCGCTGTGATTTTTGCTTGGATTTTTAGGCAAGGCACTTTAGCTACGGTTGTTTCTCTCCACCCAGGAGTACAAGTGGGTACCTGGTAGGTCCAAACACAAAATGCACTGATTACAGGTACAACATTATTGAATTTTCCCAAAGGACCTGAGTATGTGTTCCATATGTGCTTGATCCAATGACCGGGGGTAGCAATATCAAGTGCATACAGGTCTCTACAATAATGCGCTCTACAAGTTGACCATTAATATTATTATTATTATTATTAATATTATTTTTGAGCCATTAAGAAATTCATAAGTTTGTGAATTTGTACCTCATTGAAGGTTAATATTTTTTTATCCACTTGAGTTGTAATTCCATATTTATTTTAATCCATCGTTTTAATTTAGTTCTAAAAGCAGTTTTATAGATTTGGATTTATGTAGGTACCACAGCTTAACATCAAAATTAAATATTTCCTTGTATTTTACTTGTAAAACTAAATGCTATTTATCTCAAAATACTGTACTGATTTTGATGTACTATTAAAATCTGTGTCAACCTCCATGATGAGCTCTGCTAATACATAGTCAAAGGTTATACAGTCTTTTTACACAAGATAGAATTAGGTTAATGTGTAGGTCCTTTGCAGGGGTTCAAGTTGACATAAGGCAAGATTTTAATTATACCTTGTTTAGCAAACTTGCTTTTATAATGATCATCAGAGGGTGGGGAAAAACATTTTTTTGTTTTCGTATTTAACAAAATGGTTTTTCATAAAGCATCTCAGTGGAGGAAGAGAATAAAAATAAAATTGTATTGTTTATTCGTGTTTGTTTTTTATTTTTTGATGTTCTGTGTTGTTTCTCTTGCGATTTTAATGTTTTATATGTACTGGGCCCTCTGGGAGAACAGTAACTTTTTACTGAAAGGTAACCCAGTATAAAGAATAAATAAATAAAATAAATAAATAAATAAATAAATGAATAAAAATATTTTGAGTGTGGCCTGTGATTTTGAGGTAAAAAAAGAAAAAGTAATAGAAAGCGTTCTTTGTTTTCACTGCAGATGCTATCATATGATCATAAAAAATTTGATGGAAACTTAGTAATGGGATTGATAAACTTTAAATTGATATAATTTAGAAAGAAATATACAAATTTCTTAGTTTGGGTAATTTTGAATCGTAAAGTAAAATAAATTCTTTTATTTTTTTCCCTAAATTTTTGTGGCAGATAGTGCGCTAACTCTGGGGCTGATGCAGGAAAAAGGGATGAAGATGATGCGACTGCACCCCCCCCCCCCCACATTCTAATTAAGAAAAATAATTGTTGTATTGTATTGTCGATATGAATTACCGGTAGGATTTTTAGGGTATGAGAGTGCAATTTTTTTTAAAATCTAAAAGGTCCATAATCTCACAATGTTCTCCCTTCAGCAACTCAGGTGGTGTGGACCTCTCTGCCAAATCCTGCATCCTTATTTGAAATCACTATCGTTTGCAGAGAGTTAGCTAAAACAAGGTAATAAAAAGTCTTGGCTAAGCCACTTCAGTGAGGATTGATTCATTAAGTTTCATTCACACATTGTATTTTAATGTACATCTATGAGTAAATGGCTGAGAACACCTACAAGAATCTTTGAATTTTATTGAAGAATTTTTCTGAACGTTTTTATTAAAGATTTGCAGCTCTACCTAGAAGGAGCAAGCAACATTACAGTTTATTTTGTCTTGTATTGGAAATCCATCCATTCCTATTCATGAGAATAAACTAACATCTTCAATCTACGAACTGCATTAATAGCATATCTGAGGTGAGGATCATGTAAAGCAACTGGTAGGTATTATCAATGATGAAGTACAGTAAATACTAGTACAGTACCCTTTTTGGCATCACCTATAACTCTCTGATTCCTTAGGCCAGTTAGGTAGATAAACTTGCCCAGCAGGTCAGACAGGTCAAATGCAGTACACTTGGGCTGTTGCCAGATTTTAGTGATTTGAACAAATGTGCCACGAAAAATTCTGACAGTGAAACTGAATTGATATTCAAAAGAGTTAAATCAAAAGTTTTTTATGTACAGGATGACATGACAGGAGGTGAGATAGGTGAGTGCATAGGTGGGAGAGAAGGCAGTAAAATGGCTTGGGGGGGGGGGTGTAGGAGAGAAAGTAGGGATGGGAGAGAAAAATTATTTAGAGTAACAACATGAATCCCATTCTGCCATTTCAACATAAAAAAAATAGTACACATTATATTACACTGTCTAAAAACTATATTGTGGTATATTTAACAACATTTACCAAAAAGCATTGTCATGATGTCTAATACATCTTTATTAATGATTTGATATGAAGTCTTACAATGTAAGAAAATCATTTAAAAGTTCATTCAATATACTGTAGATTACAATAGAACCACTCCTTTGGGGACATACCGGTACCTATTAAGCAGACACTTTTTTGCCACAAAGTGAGAAAAATATACAGTATCTTTTAACACTATGATCAGCCTCTATTCAGGGAACACTTTTTTTTTTGTCCTGAAGGCGTCCTCTTAATAAAGGGTTGCACTGTATAATGAAATAAAATTATGTCCATAAAAACAGTAATACTTTGCTTCAAAATGATACAAAATTTCAGCAGCTTTATATCTAGAAGAGAATGGTAATGATCCATGCCATTATGTTGAAGCATTCGTAAGTCTCCAGGACACATCTGCACATTGAGCAGATGACGTAAGGTACGCAGCTGTGATATCAGAGCTCATCACCTGTGCATGCTGTTATCAAGAACATGATGGCAGGCTTAAACCAGGTCAGTGCTTGATCAGCTTCTAATGTTTTAAGTGCCCGGTGATACGCATCAGGCGGCACATGGACATGGGGTGCTCAACGGTGGGAATTAGAGTGGTCTAGCAGGATGACGTACTCGTTGTCATCGTCCATCACTGGCGGCATCATTCTACTCACTACCAGTGTGTAATCTACAATACAATGCAAGGTTTAAAGATAATATCACGCACGTTTGATTGTGGAGTGATAAGGCAGGAAATGAAGCTGTTATGATACAGCAACTCATCATAGGCAAATATGAGATATGAAGTGTACTGTATTATGTAGACACTAGGGAACAAGTATAAGTGGTGACCTACGAGGGGATCGATAGATCAGGGAAGCCCAGAATATCCATAGAAATTGTGCTTCCAGGGAGCAGGGAAGCACAATATGATGAAGCGGGAATGAACAGAGCAGCTAGCATAGGCGATGAATGGGATGAAGTGAAGATGGATAGAGAGCATGAAAGGAAGCGCAGGTGGGAAGAAAAGGAAAGATGGAAAACATGAAAGAAACAACAAGGAATGGGTTAAGAGGATTGGACACTGAGAAGGAAGCACAGGTAATGAGATGAAGAGTAGTAGGAGAGAACATGGAAGCACCGACAATGGCATGTAAACAGTGGGATGATGAATACGGTAGATGACAGGAAAGTAAAAAAACCAGATAGAAGCAAAGGCAATATGGGACTTAGAAAGTGGTTGCTCTAGACAGGTGGTCAACCAATCCCACAGGGGTCAATCAAGTGGGCTGTGACCTTCAGTTAGGATCCCAGAGTATTGGTAGCAGTCAATGAAGACATTTTCTGGCTTAGAATGGTAAATAAAGTTTTTAGATCAATTAGATTGGCAAATTCATATTTTTAGTCCGACAACCTTAAGTGGCATCCAAGAATAAGATGTACATGCTTTCTGATGTGGGGGGGGGGGGGGGGGGGGAAGAATCAGATAAAATCAGTGGAGGACAGAGAAACACAGGAAATGTGATGAAGAGAGAATATGATAGAAAAGGGGACAGAATAAAGAGGGGATGAACAGTTAGCTTTGAAAACAGACGACAAAAGAGAGTACTGTATACAGAGACAGCAAAATGCACATGAAAAATGAGGGCATAAGCGCAGGTGGGAGGGGGNNNNGGGGGGGGGAGGGGGTGGATTTTAAGATACTAAAAATGTTTCATTAGAATAGAGATTCTACATTCACAACCCTAAGCTGTTTTGTATCGCTCCAGGCCAAAACCGTATGCCACTGATGAGGGGATGGGTAGTTAAGCATAGGGAATAAATGACGAGATACACAGGAAGTGCATAGGGAGAACATGATATGATAATTAAAGCAAAGAAATTAAATTGTACAATATTACTTGAGTTTAATAGCCTGTTATGCGTGTATGGTATGGTATGGTGTCTTACTGTAGAGGTGAGTACATAATTTAGGCATTTTGCTGTTCATTCTAGCCAAACAATGTATGAGATATTGTTGGGAAATAAAAAACATAATTAGATTTTATATTTAATATTCAACATGCATTGCATTCACATAAAACCATGTCTTCTTAGAGAAAAAATGTATCAATAACAGAGTTATATTATCATATTACTCTAATGAAATAGAAAAAAAAACATGATTTTTAAAAACAGAGTTATTAATACCACCATTGTACCTTTAACAATGTCAATGTACCTTTAATATTTACCACCCTATAATATTATTTTTTTTAAATGGCCCTTTAAGGTTCAAGCAAGCAGCTTACTAATTGGTTCCTGCCTATAGTGACCATTTCTCATACCTCACTAACTAGTTCCAGGTCATTCAACCCAATATCACTTCACAGCTCCTCAGGTAATTCCCATGAATATTGGAAAATACAGGCCAGGCATGACTAGCACTTTAATTCTCATAGGAAAACATCCTTCCCTCTGGTTAATTTTTAGTTCCCAATTCTTTGAAAGGCAAGCAATATATTCCAGTGTCATGTTGTTTTTTATCTTTTCCTATTTCCCTCTCTAGTCTCTTGTATTACAATGCAATTTCCAGTTAAGTGTGTTTACTATCTTGCAACATTGACAATAAAAATGCATGTTTCTGTATAATCTTCAGACAGGTATTTTACATCGAGTCTATATAATAATAATAATAATAATAATAATAATAATAATAATAATAATAATAATAATAATAATAATAATTATTATAATAACAATAACAATAATACCAATAACAATAATAATAATAATGGCATCTTGTAAGGTGCATGGATCCATCTCAGAGAGTTGCTCGCGGTGTCTACATTATTAAGACCCACAACAAAAATAGTTAGATTTTCATCAATACCTCAGTTGCACTGCTTGTATCCGAATCCATTAATTTGTTGCAGTATCTACTGCCGGCCATCAATTTTGCTTGTGTAAAATTTTAAAAATAAATACAAATATCTGTCTCATAATTTTTCCAAGCGAATTAGAGTCATATTTTAATCAAACATTTTATGACACTGAACTTGAATTAAAAAAAAAACATTGATTAAAATGGCCTTGCTCTGTAGGTTGAAGAACAAGACTGTTTAGTTCTTTTGACACATGAATGGTGCAACTTTCTTCAGATTTGTTTGTAGATAGTCTTTTTTTCAATTTTCTTCATTATTTTCATTGTAAATTTATAATAGCAACACAAAGCACGCTCTGTGTGAGACACACTTCTTCGTGTAAATAAAATACATTTCTGCTACAAAGTCCTCGCAAGTATCCCCGATAAATGCTGCAACTTCCCTCATATTTCCAACACTTGTGCTACCAAGTCCTTGAAAATATACCCCGTAAATGCGGCACCTTCCCCCCCTCCCGTATAGAAATATTTAAGAGTGAGCCCCCAGGGGTTGTATTAAAATACAAGTGTTACCTTTTATAGTTGTCGCATAACAACAAATATTAGCAAACCGCCACTTGACAAAAACGATGAAGGCTTTGTGATGACACAGACAGCTACCGTAATAAGATCACTAATTCTTTAATGACTCTGAAATTAAAGATAAGTTAGAACTGTAATAAACAATAATTATTTAACTAAAATAGTACCTCTGGTAAAAGTACTGTAAAGTATTCTATTTAAAAGAATATGCTCTGCCCATGTACTAAGACTCAAAATTGTGTGTAAGGCGGCCAATGCCGTAGCCAGCTATTGGGACAGTCCCACACAATTTTTCTAATAGGTCAATAAAGAATGGGTCCACATTTTAAAAAATGGTTCCAAATTATGCAGTTTTATGCATAATTGAGTCCACTTTTTTGAAAAATGGGCCCATATTTCTCATATTTAGCTTAAAATGGGTTAACTTTTAAGAAAATGGGTCCACATTACTTGAATTTACGCTTAAAGTGGGTCCACCCTGATATTGTCCTGCACTGGCTACGGAATTGAAGGCGGCGGTCAGTCATTCGGGTTTTACCCTCCTTCCAGTATGTTTCATTCCTGATGATGACCCAATAGGGAGTCAATATATTGAATCTCAGCATCATGGCGTATTTCTTTTCTTCGAGTATGTATTATATTCTTTCATATTTCAATCAGGTACTCAATGACAGCCTGTGAAGAACTGAAAGCCACCTTCACCAGGAATTGAACACATGTCACTGATGAATATTTTCTGGTACTATAATTGCTATAAATTTAAAACTTAAGTAAACATGGGAAAATATTTTTCTTGGCTATTAAACACAAGACATCATACATATATTCTTGTACACTACATATATATTTTCCCCAGCAATATATTTGAGTAACAACTATTGAAAACTGAATCATATTTTGATCTGTGAAAGTTGATAACTTTTTTTACCTTTTCAAATTAAATTTAATTGAAAAACTCAGGGTTTTTATTCATATTTTAGAACAGGGAGTACATTTTATTTTATCCCTATTATATTTGATATTAACATTTTTAGGTTTACTTGTAAAAAAAGTCAAATAATTGAGAAGCCTGGCATGGACAATGGTTAAACTTCAACATGTCTACATGTATATTCAAATTTTACCTCATTAACCAATGTTGGTAGGTATAGTCTGGCTACTAGACCCCCAGCCCTCGAAACATCATCAACTCAACACCATGCGAACTAACCAAATACATGAAGCTAGCAGGCAGCCTAGCTAAGGTTTGGCCAGGTAATTCGCTGAAATCACAGCAGCATACCAGTACAAACTTACAATCGTTGCTGATGAGCTGGGCTCATTTCCTGCCGGCCTAGTTTTGATAACCTAGCAAGCAGCCCGCGTAACACCGTTGTTTTCAATCAAAACATACTCCCGACTTGGATACTATACGGCAACGTAGGTGATGCGCTGCTAGGCTCTTTGAGGTTCTCACAGCGTTAACAGCGAGGGAGAAGTTATTGGGTTACACTGTCAAGAACATTATCTTACAGTCTTTTTTCTCCAACTGTCGAATATTAACACTGTCTTTTACTTTCTATCTCCTTGGTTTGCCATAGGCATCGTTCTCTCAATTAGCTCAAACATGACTCAGTATATCAGGTAACTTAATGTGTGGCACTCACAGCTCAAGTAAACACTTAAAAAGTTTGATATTGAAGCAATTAAATAACAATCATAAGGTAGTGTTATCGTTCAGAGTTTTGCTTCTGAAAGCTGTTACAATAAACTGAGGCTGGTATAATATTTGTGACCTTCTGTGGATTTTTGAAAATTCAAAGACAAATATTAGAACTGAAAAAAAGTTGTCAAAACAAAACTGATATTTGTAATCACAGATCACAGTTAAAGATCTTGGTAGAATATTCACTGTTTTTATTTTTACTACATGAACTTTAACACTAGGTTTAGGTGAATAAAACCATTTTTAATAAGTCGTACAAATTCATATTCTTCGAAAGGGGCTGTTTGAAGAAATAAAAGGTAAAATAAAATAAAAGAAAGAAAATTGGGGAAATTAATATAATACCCCATTTTCACCAGTTTGATGGGAGCAAATTTGTAAAATGGCATCTTAACTGTAGTTGCCCAGAAATAGCACTCTCGGAATGTAAAAACTCTTTTTCAAAGCAGTGTTTTCCAATGAGATTGGCTTATTCCTGACTGTAAGTCCTATACATTCTGGACCCCAGCTTTTATCGCCACTGACTCATCTTGCAAATCAAATGAGTTACTACGATTTATGTAAACAAGGTAGTTAAACAACCCTAAATGATTTGACTTAAAACCTAATAATAGTAAATCTTTTGCCAGCAAAATTCAAAAAATTTTTGTTTTTATTTAAACAAATGAATTAACTTGGAAAGATTTCATCTTTGCCAAACAAAATTGATAAAAAAAAAATGTATGAACTTTAATAAGAACTCATTTGCTTATATACAGCCTTCAGTTTTTTTATTTGTCTGAAAAACAAAATGGTAGTTTTTAAATTAAAATTTATGTAAAATAAAAGCTATTACTGGGAAGATTCTATCTTTTCTCTTTCAATAGCATATTTGAAAAATTCTTTCAACGAACTTTAGCAGGAAATACTCCTTCAACCTTCACTAATCAGCCTTTTATAAATATATATTTTTTTTCTTGAAAGCAAATAAACTCATTGCCAACAAAAACATTCCAAGTTAATTCACATACTGTTCCTATTCATCCATTTACAGATGGATTTACAACTTTCAAAACTTCTTTCAACGAAGCAAATTCCTACTAATTAAAGAATTGCGTTCTAAGAGCACTTGAGGAAACTTGGGAGCAAGTACAACGTCAAAGTCTATCTGCAGACAACATCAACATCTTCACGAAATAATTTTTGACTTATTAAGTGGGAGTGTATTTATGACTGAGGTTGTTAGCTTCTGTATGAGATAAATTCCAGGTGATTTAACAAATTATAACTCTTTGGATGAAACTTTTCAGAAATGGCAATTGGAAACATCAAGAACTAGATCGAGCAGGCATCTACAAATTGATGGTGACACGCTTCGTGTGAGTGACCTAGGCTAGGCTGGCTGATACTGCCAGATATGTGGCAACTCATGTTATGCGGGATGCCTATGAGCCCATGAGAGTTTTCAGCCACAAGCCAGCCACCACTCCCAATAACCCAAACTACAACTCATCCTCTAAAATGTTCACCCTAAGTGGCCTAATATCAATTCATAAAGAGAAGTGGAATTTTTGTAGGGTGATATTTTGAACATTTTGTCTCCCAGGGACATTGACGAATTGGTTAACTATCCAAAAAATAAAAGTTTCAAAGATTCTATAATGTCAAGACCAATTACAAAGTTTTTTTAGTGTTTTATGGACACCGAGACTTACAATTGGGTCAAAATCCATACATATTACTTGAAAAATTCCTAAATAAAAAAGTAGTTAGAATTAAGACGTTTAACATTGAACAGGATATATGCAGGAAATATCGAACACCTTTATTATAGACAGGAAAAAATCCAGTATGTATTGAACACTAATCATAGATTTGTTATACTAAAGCGCCAGTGCATTCGATCCATCTAAGTCAAGGCTGTTATCTACCTTCTAAAAAAAATCACAGCTCTTGCAAAATGGCAGTCAAAAATGTGTGACAAACTCTTTTAAAATTCATGTTTAACTTAATTCCAAAGCAAAACTTTTTTGGTATTAGACTTCTATTTATTCATTTTGAACTAAATTTCCGATGACATCTTTGAGTAGTAACAATACCACAACACTATTTCAGCTAAAACTTGGTCCAAACTGTCACATTTTATATGACAAATAAATGTGATATGCCCATATTTGGTTGTAAAATTACATTGTCATATCCAAATTTGGGAACAGCACACATAGATTTTGTCACATAAAATCAGATAGTTTGGAGAAAGCTTTCTTAAAAAAACAGACATGTTGGAAAATGTATTTCCGATACAAATTCTCTCCATAGATGTCATTTCTTTTTACCTACTTACTGTAGATACTGAAGTCACACATTTCAAATTGAGTGTAACTGTTGAAAATAGTAATTTTGTTACAGATTTGTTTTAGTTTGATTGATCAGTTTTAGTTTGAACAGCAAACTGTTAATATTCTGATATAATTAAGGTTTAATACTGTTTTTCTTTTAAACAGTTATTTTTAATTCTAATTTTATACCCTATTATTTCCTAATAATTTGAATAATTTTATTTAATCATTACAATACAGTAAGTACCAATTATTATAAATATACAATAGTATAATTTAGATACAGCATTTTTCCATGCTAAAGTTTCCATCAAGTATCTAGTTAATGTGTTTTATAATTTTATTTTTGTTTTCATAATTCTGTCTTACTATCATCCTTCCTGTTGTTATGTACTTTTGTGAGGATGCAATAAGTAAAATGAAATGATGCAATCAAAGTGAAATGTTCATTTTCGTCGCCTAGTTAGCACTCTAAATATATTTAAATAACCCACCAGCATAGACGTATATTCTACTGACCTTCAATCAATTGGCAATTTGCACTTTTAAGTAAAATATATTAATTGTTTGGTATTACAACTGGTGGTTAACTATCAGTAATAAATGCTAATAAGCAAAAGTGAGGTTACTTTCTGTGAGATGTAAAAATGTGGTATCTATGGCATACAGTACGTTTTATGTTGTGTATGCAATGCCGTAGCCAGCTATTGGGACAGTCCCACACAATTTTTCTAATGGGTCCACAAAGAATGGGTCCACATTTTAAAAATTGAGTCTAAATTATGCAATTTTATGCAAAAAATGGGTTCACTTTTTTAAAAATGGGTCCAGATTTCTCATATTTAGCTAAAAATGGGTAAAATTTAAGGAAATGGGTCAAACTTTTTCATATTTTCGCGTAAAATGGGTCCACATTGTTTGAATTTACGTGTAAAGTGGGTCCACCCTGATATTGTCCCGCACTGTTTGAAAATCCTGGCAACGGCATTGTGTGTGTGGTAGGATGTTCATATACGGTACTAGAAAATCATTTCTGGCAATACTTATGATCTTTGCCTAAATATCATGAAAATAAGAGGCTCAAT